AAAATTATTACTGGCTAATGATATTGGCCAGAATTGTGATGTATGCACATCCTTAGCTGTAATACAGTAGTTGGCATCTGTGATATAATCATTTGTAAAACTTATAATTAATTTTAGTCTATAGGAGGAAGTCTAAGTCTAACTTTGTGTGTCCAAATCTCTACAGACTTACTTTCCACAGACAGTGCTATGGGCTGGCCAGTCTTGTTTTCGCCGTTCTTGTCATTCACGGCTTGTACGTAGTATCTTCCAGCATCTGGGGCCACGGTGGACAGGATGACCAGCGTATTGTCCAGAGTAATGGCTCTGTGAGAAAACAACAAGCAGAATCATGGTCAAAAATCTCCAGCTGTCATATATCACACACAAGCACTGACTTATAACACTGCATCAGTAATATCCCAACAAACTACACACCAAATGCTCAGTGCTGCGCTTGAAAAGCTGATATTTACATGAAATATTCCCCACGGATGTTTCAGAGCCAGTGGAGTACTAACTCACTGCTATCTCATTATGCCTATTCATATACACAAAGGGAAATGTCTTTAAAAACATGACAGAATTCTGAATGTTTCTTTCTTTTTTTTTTTCTAAACCATTGACACAACGACTCATTTAAACATAATAAACAAAGAAACCATCTCCATCTGTCATTTCCCCTCCAGATCAAGAACTCCATGAAATGACTTTGCTCCATAAATATCACATACACTACTTCTGGTGTCAGCAACATGCAACAGCTGCTATGATGAAATATATATTTTTTCCATTAAAAGAACAAAAATATTACTACTATTATTTTATAGGCTTTTAATTAAGCCCTTATTAAATTCAAGTACTTTGCAATATATTTGCTAAAAAAAACATTGTCACATGAACAGGAAATACATGCATACATATAACTCTGTTCTACTTTCAAATATTTGAAAAAGTAAATTATATATATATATATATATATGTATATATATATACATAATTTCATTTTTCATAATTTATTTATTATTTAACATAACCTAGGGGCAAGAAAATAAATTAAAACAACTTGTACTACACATGTAACACTACTTCCTCTTTAGCAGTACATTCACACATCTCACTTTGAATAACCAGCCATCTCCACCCGACTGCCCCATTGCTCTCCACTGGGCCGAGTCCTGACACTTACCCCATGGAGTCCCAATTACAGTGCCTCCTTTGTTTACAATCAATGTTTTCTCATTATGACTATGTGTTGGACAATTGAGGAAGAATTGTTCGTTCTGCGTGGCTGCCCTCGACCCGTCTCACACACCTAGTCTTTGAGCTGGCACCCACGTTCCCCCGGCCTGAGTCCTCTGGGGTGCGGAATGCTAATAGGAATCTGTTCGTCTCACTGTAAGAATACCAAATGTGTGCCAGAGCCCCAGAGCCACTATCACAAAAAGGCTGCAGATGCTTACTGATAAAGGCAGCATATTTTGAGGCAAAACTGACAGATCTTTCGCTCATCTTTCATTCTCTCTTGGCTTTACGACTGTAAGAAGACTATAACACAGTTGATAGGCCTGCGATTGTACAGTATATTTTTATACAACACCCTTAAATCTATTGTGTCTGTATACATAAACCTTAGCAAATGACATGCAATATTTATAACTACAGCTGATACTGAAGTCTATACTTCTGAGTGTCCTTCACAAGACACCATATCTTCTTCATATCGAAATCTGCTTCAACCTGTAGTTCTGAAGTATTACTGTGGTTAAAAATAAATGTGTGTGTGTGTTATTTTTTTTTATCCTTTCCATCAATCTGTTTTAGACACATAGTAGTGGCGGCAATGTCAGAAAGAACTAGTTCAGATCCCTGTAGTTGAGGTCATCATGAAACAACATTTGTAAGTGAAATTAATATTCACTGACAAAACAAACAAACAAACAAACAACATGAACATGTATTACGTAAGTAAGTTAGTAAGGTTAATTAGAATTCATGTTGGCTTTTAAATATACACTAAACAAATTTTAATAAAATTAGTCTGCTAATGTTGGACCCACAGCCTTGCGTTATTTTAGTATTATTTATATACTATTATAGTATTTATTAATATTCTGAATTAGCTTTTATTTTATATTTTAGAGTTTCCATTTGTTTTAATCATATTATCATGATTTTGTAATTTTTATTAATTTATTTATTTGTTGTATTTGCCTTTCATTTATTTTATTTTATTTTTTGTTTTCGTAATTGTATACTTCAGCTTAACCTGTTAACTCAGAGATTGCATTACTGTTAATGGTACTTTAATGAATTACAACCATTTAATTTCAGATAATGCATTTTCATGTCTATGTTAAAAAAAAGGGGGGTTGACAGTAAAGATGGTTCAACTTTATTTTAATAAACAAAAAATATTTTAATAGTTTTAGTTAACAATAACAACCCTGAAACTCAGTGAGCTGTGGTGCTTGTGTGGCTGACATGAGTTCAAATCCAGTTTGCACTGTCTGGATTATGTTTCCCCATCATTCCCTTTCCATTTCGCACATTCCTATTAATAAAAAAAACAATGAGGACAAAAATAGCAAAAAGTGGCAATTCAAATAACCAATAACATAAATTGTGTGCACAGAGCATTGCAGAACAGCTTTTAACAAACCAAATAATCATCAAAACAACTCAAATTCAAATATTCATGAGTATCTGCATATTTAAAATTAATTTTGTCCTAAAGCACTGATTACACCAATCCAAACACTTTCAATAAAGATAAAACACATACAATATTGAAATTGCTGATTGCATTTACTGAATTGTTAAGTGATATTAAGTTAACGATTTCAAAAGCACAGTTTGCTTTATTAAAAAGCAAAGAGCCTCATCCTTTTCCTTAACAACAGCACGATAAAGACATTATGCTCTAGTGCAGCCAGCTGTCACAGGATATTACATCAACCTCCTGAAATGATTAATGACTGCTGTATGATTAGAGCAGCTCAACATAGAGGGATGACATAAGAGCGGATGATTGATTTTAATATCTCCTCATGCACACACTTGGTCTCAAATTTCTCCCATTTTCGGCCCACGATGCATCGTTCCAGATGGATAAGGGGCCGGTTAATAAGGGCGAACGGCTGTGGTGTGATGATCTGTAGTGAATATTTCACTCTGCCTGGGTCCTGGTGCGGCAGGTGTCAGGGAGAGAGCCACACTGCTGCTGAATTATGGATTGGAAGAGGGACAGTGAGCAGCCCAAGACTGCAAATTAATCTCACACAAGCACACACAAGCACACACAAGCACATTTATATATGCACTTACATTGTTCTTTCCTTATACTTTTATAAACATTCACACACACACACACACACACACACACACACACACAATAAAATATGATTTACACTGCAAGCATACGACACCAAATTCCTGACTGACACATGCACGCATGATAAAGGTCACGCATAAACATTATCGCACAGGTCTCACAGTACTCATAAATATAGCACATATACATGTTTCTGAAAGCACAGATGAATATAAAATAAGATGAAGCATATGAACCCGTTTTATGTGGTAACAACATATGACAGAGGTAAATTATGAATTTAGAAATGCCAAAGAACATGTAATCCAGGCGTCCATGAAGGAATTCTGACATTTTTATCCATAATGTCAGGAATTTTTGTGTAATATAATAAAAAATATTCAAGGAACTGCTAATGAAACCTGCATATACAGTGAATGAGGATAAAATAAAACTGCAGTTCTGGTACTTATTTACATTTTGAGGATTTTAACAAACATATTTTTGGTATAGACAAATTATAAGTCAAATCATACAGGTGGCTTCTTGAGGAAAGGTGTACTTTTACTCTTCCGATCGATTCCACAATACCAGAACATTATATAGACAATAAGTAATCACCTAGCAACCAGCCACGACACCTTAGCAACCACACAGCAACAATCACTGAAAATCTACATTCTAGCAACCAATCACAATACCCTACTATCAGTGAAGCAAGCTTTGCTCTTATTTATTTGTGTGAAAATTCCAAAACACAGTTACTTTTTATATTTTTGTCCCACACTTTTTCTGCCTTTACTCTCTCTGCATGTATTTGAGTGTACTCCCACATGGTTGTGGAAAGATTTCATAAAATCAGTGATCAGTGACTGTTTCTTGTTGAAGAATCACAGAGCTGAGAAATTAGTATCACTGTTGTGTTGTGTTTTCTCATCAAAGGTATTCACAGCATTCAGTTACTGCAATCCAGCATTTAAGTCTGCCAAAGATTGGCATTCTGGGAGAATTCATTCCGTTCAAGTGTGCATAAAACATGGAGTCTGTAGAACAGTTCCAAAACTCAATGAGCTGCCAACCTGGACAGCATTAGAAGGCAACATGGGTTCACTCTCAATGCAAAGGTTGTTCCAAAAGGAAGCATTAATAATCATAAATGCATCAGATTAATCAGAAGGCTGATTAGTATTAGAAGGCAATTCCAAAATGCAATGAAAGAGAAAAGTTGATTACAAATATACATGGTAGTATATGAATTTTTATATGATTTTTTATGTTTTTGAAAGAAGTCTATTATGCTCAACAAGGCTGCATTTATTTGATCAAACATGCAGTAAAAAACAGCAATACTGTGAAACATTGTTACAGTTTAAATTAACTGTTTTCTATTTTAATATATTTGAAATTTAATTCATTCCTGTAATGGCAAAGCTGAATTTTTACTCCTTTCTTCAGAGTCACATGATCCTTCAGAAATCATTATAATATTCTGATTGATGCTGAATTATCAGTATTAAAAACATTCATATTGACCCCAAACTTTGTTTGAACAGTAGCGTACTTAATTTATTACTGAAGTACACACACACAAAAAGATAATATTTAACTGAATATTCTATGTGTGTGAGCATTTTTATGCTAATTATACAGGTGCATCTCAATAAATTAGAATGTCGTGGAAAAGTCTCTGGAATACCTGACTCTGCTGGGTAGATCATGGCATTATACAGTCAAATATTTTTGCATAATACCTGCTAAACTGTATATTTGACCACTGTCCAAGCAAGAAGGCAGCTGTGCTGGTTTCACGTCTCTCAAAGCGCACTTTGGTCTTTTTTCTCACATGATAAAATAATTTTTACCCAAATCAGTATTTCATGACCATATGTTTTATGTTATAAAAATATACATTAAATATAAGTGGGATAATGTACAAATAAATGGTTTTAAATGCATGGTTGTTGAGGGTTTAGGCAGCTCTTGTAACACATGCCGGCACAAACCAGTCCCTCCA